TTTTTTTTTTTTTTTTTTTTTTTTTTTTAGGCCGGGGTCCTCACAGTTCCTAGTAGAATTCAGAGAAACTATTGAACATATATTCATGAATTTTATGCAATGTTCTGGATCAGTACTGCATGGAGAAAATCGGATTGTATCTGGGAAGGGCCTAACAGGAATTGATTGGCCCTGGGATTGAAAAGTCATTCTCTTGGGTCACTGGGTTCCCCAGGGATTGCAATTGTCCATCTTCCAACAACATTTTTTCGAGATAGGTCGTAAGGCAATGGTATGGACACTATGGCATAAGCGTTGTGTCAGGGAGAGAGAGGGAGTGGGGATGGAAGGAGCAGAATTAAGGGAACTGATTGTTAATTTTGTACAAACAGTATGGCCAGGGGAGGATGGGGATGAAGGGTCCTTCAAAATGGACTTTCAGCTCATATTCCGGAACTGGTTCCAGCTTCAACCAGGAGCCTTGCTCAGATCTCCAGTATTTTTCTCAGACCCATTTCCCCCTTCTAAATTAGCCCTAGTTGAATTACAGTGGTATGGCGGGGGGGGAATTAAATATCAGAAGGAAAGATGCTTGTGCGAGGCACAGGGCCTCGATATGCCCTACAGGGCCTATTTTTCACACAGTCGGCCGCCCTAAGTGAAGGCAGGCACGACCGAGGCCTACAGGTCATTTTGGGGTCACCACGCAACTGGGGAAATTCAGGCAGTTGCGCAGCGCCAGTTGGTTGGAAGCGCCCAGGCTTGCATGTAACTGAGGCAAGCCCTGGGCCGGATACACAAAGTGGACCGAACAAAGGCTGAGGGCAGTTGGGTGCTGGTAACCACCACAGGCCCTGGGCCTGTTTACTTCGGACTGAGGCTCAGCCTCGTGGGGCCTACCGGAAGCTTCTGGGCCAGGGCCCAGTACCGCATTACTGCACGCAGCAGCAGGCCACTTCGATATAGAGAAGGGCTTGCCTACGCATTGGACATTTGGGCACTGGCTGCATGCTGTGCAAGCGCTGCTGCGCTAACGCTGGCCAGGCTCACGCGCTCACGGGCGAGCTGGAAGGAGCAGGCAGCCATAGCCGAGCTGCGCTGCTGTATGCTGGATGGGGCGCGTGGTGGTCCTTGGGTGCAAGTGGCATCTGTGAGTTGGGGAACGAGGTTGTGAGTGATACGAGAGACCTACCTAGTGCTTGACGCGTGCGACATTGGCCGAGATCTGCTCGTACTTAGGAAGCTGTTGACGTCATCAGCGGCATTGTAGTCTAGGGACTCTAGGCTAGATAGGATCTGCCATTCGTAGTCTGAGCGCCGAGCGCCAGATAGGATATCAACATTGGTTCTTCGTTGATGATGATGAGACTATTCCGGCATTGTCAATTATGAGCTTTTGGTGTGCTCTTATTTGGTGAAACTCGTGATGCAATTCTGCTATTGGTTCGAGGTCACGACTATCCGGTCTCATGTGTATGATGCTGTTTGATTGCTGAAGTTCGCTATTGCTCATCTTCCTTGCACTTGTATGTTATTTTCAGATCTGGCGGTCCTGATGGACTGAAGAGGTGGTTTTCCTTCATTTTGATGGTATTAGTACACTTATCTTCAAACTTTTTCATATGTAATTAAAGGACGCTGGACCCGGTTTCCAGCAGGTGCAGCTCCCCACCAATAGATTGAGTGACCAAGCAAACCTAGTAGGAGGGGATGCTTGTATCACCCACCCTATTAGATTCTGCACAGTCTTAAAAAAAAAATAATAATAATAAATAAAAAGATGAAGGTAAGCTACAGAAACAGGTGGCCTTCTACATCAACTGGACCAAATACCAGAGGAGTGGGGGCGACTCATGTGTGTAGCATTTTGGGCAGGAGGAAGGTGTGAGCAAAAAGGGATTGGGGGGATGGAAGGCATGGCGGGGAGTTGCAGCAGGGAGGGAATCAAATGTACAAGGATGGATCTGTGACCTGCTCGCCAGCTGCTGAAGCAATGGCCGACATTCTTCGAGTAATGGGTAGCTCCGGTTCGAGATAGGCGTAGTTGGTCTGTGTGTTTGGGGTGTGGTGACAATCCAAGGCTGTACTCTGGTCACGTGGTGTGTCCAGAGGTAAGAGGAGACGCGCATGAGTGCAAAACAAACCACAATGGTGCAGTTTAGTGTTGTTGATAGTGGCGATGGTCTTTACGATAGCGCAGGCGCTAAGACAGCTTGTCGAGGAGTTGGAATCTCGCTCAGATGAGGAGGACATAGGAGCTCTCTCGTGCATAATGTAGGCAGTCTGTGTTGCCTTGGTGTGAGGTATGCGGCTGGGTGCAGTGTAGGTCTCATGTTGAGGTCTCTCGCGTGCTTCCGATTGTACGGTTGCTTTTTCTTTTTTTCGTCTTTCTGGAGGGTTTTTTCTTGCTAAAGGTGTGATATTGATCGTTTGGTGCCGTGGTCGTCATATTCGCCGGGGGAGGTATGAGGTAGGCCATATGTTCTGGCAGGGTGGTATTTGCATCTTGGTATGTGTAACCTCTATGTGCTTGGGGTGGGGGACAAAAAGGGAGTGCTATCAGGTTCAGCTTTTGTAGTTCGCAGGCTTGTTCGTGTGTTGTGGCGGGAGGTCGTTTGGTAGGATGTAGCGAAAACGTTTGTTTCTTTTGTCTCTTTGTTCTAGCTATGGCGGGGTCTTTTTCATTGGGGTCCGATTTATTTTTGGACTTTTGCTGATGTCAGTAGGTACTATTGCGCGTGTTATCTGTCGTTTCGTGGTTTTGTCTTCTTCTATTTTCTTTATTCTTAATTTTTCGGTTTT